CCCCCCCCCAGGTGTCTTCCCATGCACACTGCTGCCTCGCTGTCCTGCGGGCACCCACCCCGGCCCCACTTTCACCGGTCGGCCGCGTGCCGGGTCAAGGTGGTGCAGTGCCCTCCAAGAGCGCCCCGGGACGCGGGGTGTGCGGCAGTGCCTGTACTCACCAGCAGAGGGCGGTGACGGCCAGGCGCTTGGCTTTGTCGTTTTGGAATTTCCAGAGCGGCAGCAGAGTTCCCTCCTGGTCTCGATATTCGTCCGCGGCGTCCTCATAGTACTTGAAATCTTACACACACAAACGTACACGCACCGGGTCAACCCAGAGACGGCCACTTCACGCCAAACCCGGATCCGCCACTCACTGGCGGCGAACCTCTGTGTCTTCATAGGCGCCCTGTTGGTGTAGTGCGAGGTCAGCAGTTCAAAGTCACCAGCTGCGCCGCAGGAGAAAAGCCGGTCTGCCCACAGGGGGCAGTTCTGCCCTGCCCTATAGAGTCACTATGTGTGGGTCGGCATGGACTCAATCAATGGCGGGGAGATTGGTTTTAAATCGACCTCAGAGACTGGTGTGAAAATTAATTGAGGCAATATATGTAAAGTGCTTAGAAAATTGCCTGGCAGATAAGTGCCTGCCTCTCTGAGCGTTCTCTTGTTACTGTCCTCGTTGTTGTTGGAGCTAAGTCACAACAATCCCAGCCCCCACGAGCTTCCCCAGCCATCCCACACAGTGAGGCCACCTAGATTCCACATGGGCTCTGCTGATTGTTCTCACGACCAGGCCTAAAATGCATGTCTGGGTCTCACTCTCTGCCACTTAGGCCCAAGCTCTTCCTTGACTGGCCTCTATCCGTCATTGAGATAGTTTATTGTGCCAGCCTGGCCGATAAACACAAGTGGGATTAATTAAAGGGCGGAGAGATAAATGGCTGGGTGAGCCTCACCTTTCTTGTCTCTTGTTCTTTGATCATCGGACCAGTGTGTGGCTGCCTTGCTTGTTCTGTGCCTCAATTTGAAGGCTACACTACCTGTGGGACGCCTAGCCTGTGGACTGTGTCACTGTAAGCTGAGGTCCCCTTAAGACCGCACGATTGAAATTTACATTTCTGGTTGAAATTTACATCTCTGGAGCTGGGGACTGACAGTTGGTGACCTGCCTTGCTATTTGCTGCTGTGCTTATATAGCCTAGCTCTCTCTACAGAAGAAGACCTGGCAGCCCTCAAGACTTGAAGGACTGCTAGTGTCTCACAACTCTCACGGGAGTGAGTTGCACTGAGTCATTTGTACTGCTTTATAATTTAACTGTTCATTTCTTGTATTATATATCTATCTGTATACAATTTAATAGTTCATTTCTTGTGTTATATATCTAACTATCTTTATAAATAAATATATAAAATTATCAGCAGTCTGGTTTTATCGCCGTAGAGAACCCTGTCTAACACAATCATCTCTCACCTTTCCCTTCGGATCATCTTTCTCATCCAATCCTAACCTGGATTCTAACAATACCCTCCTCCCAGGCCTCCCTACCTTAAGTTACATCTCCTCCAGATAGTTTCTGACAGAGCTCTCCCCATTACCACCCCACTCCAAGGACAACAGGACCTTCGGGAATCATGTGAATCGCTGTGCTCCTCCCACCCCACAGAGACCCTCTCACTGGCTTCTATTACCCCAAAAAGAACATTTGAGTCCTGGGCCAAACCAAGACTCCTGGCCATGAATCCCACGCTATCTCCAGCCCTCTGCACACGGACCCTCTGGGTCAAATAGTCACATGGCCTGAGGCCTCTGAGCTTTTTCTCAGTCCTTCATGTGTGAGATGCCCCAGCTTCCCAGCAAACTTCCTCTCACTCCGGGATCCAGGTCAAACGCTGCCCTAGGTGAGGGCTGCACTTCCTAGTTGCTCAGCGTTCATTTCTCCCTTCTCTGTACCAACCTTGCCTCCCTCTCCTGAAATGTCTGTCACACCGTGTTGCCTCTAGTCATCCTTTGCCTGTCTCCTCCACAGACAGGCCCTGTGGGGAGAACAGGAAGCATGTCATACACATCTTTGTGGCCCAAGTCCCAGGCACAGGGCCAGCCAGAGAGCAGACACCCAGGGAATGTTCAAAGAACGCAATTAAATAAGCCAACAGAAGTAAAATGGTCCTTGGTCCTCTTTCCAACCAAGGGTGATTCATTAGAAAACGACTCCTCTTATCTAACGGGGTCAATGGCATGCCTTGGCACCAACCCCAGCCGGTCTTACTATGCCCCACACCTTGAAGTTGGGGACGGCATTCAACTTCAGAAACGCCTCTGAACAAGAAGGATTTGAGCGGTCAGAGAGGCAGGCATGAACCGAGGGCACATCAGACAAAGATCCTTGAGCCTGGGCTGGGTTGGAGAGGCCCTCCCTTCAGAGAGGAGATTAATTGGGAACACTTCCCAATTTTCACGTCTGCTTCATAGTTACACTTCCCCAAAGGGAAAATGAGTATGCAATTAAAACAAAATCAAAGTTCAGTGCATTTTTATGTGACTGTGTGTTCTTATAAATGAGAACGGTTCACCAAGGCCAATTTCTCCACGGCTGTGAGGCGGGTTTGCAGCCCTTTGCTGGGCTGGCTGCAGAGCTGGGTTTCAGGGAGGCAAGCTGTGTGATTGACAAATTCATTCGCAGCTACTGTGTACTTTGACAGCTTTGAAAAGCAGTCAAGGTCGCTTTCCAGCCTGAATGATAACGAGGGGGCTTGTTTCGGCAGCGGGTCCTGGCAGCCCTGGTTTGTATGTCCCCTGGGTGAGCAATGAGCATCGAGTCCCCAAGAAGAGTCCTGAGCTGTCGGCTCAGGAGACTGGCCAGCAGCAAGGGGCTGCCAACTCTGGGGAGGTAGCCGCTCCAAATAAACGCACAGCCTCTCGGGGAAATACAAGCCCCTTGGGAATGCACTGTTCACGCCCTGGGAAGGATTCGTTTCCCTGGTTCTATCAAAGCCACCAGCCTTTCCCAGGCCCCTAGGAAGTATGCTGTTGTGAATCACTGCCTTTCTTCACCTCATCGCTAATTAATTACCAGGAGAGACCTATTGAGTGTGTTTATTTGAGAGGTCTCTTCCAGCTCTGAGGCTGCATTGCCAGAGTGCTGAGGTGCCGAGGCTGCTGATCCAAGGGGCCTGTGTTCAAGACCTGAGACCACCGTTTACACTAGCTGTGATTCTGGACACGTGACAGCAACATCCCAGTCTATTTCTCAGCCAGAAAATGAAGGTAATAATGGTGCCTGCCCCATTGGTGTAGTGGCTATGTGTTGGGTTGCTAGCCAGAAGGTCAGCAGATCAAAACCACGAATCTGCTCCTCAGGAGAAAGACCAGGCTTTCTACTTGAGCAAAGAGTTACAGTTTTGGAAACCCTCAAGGGCAGTTCTACCCTGTCCTAGAGGGTCGCTATAAGTCAGAGAGATCTCTGGTCCCAGCAAGATAAACTAATACAGACAGACTGCATCACGCTATAGAAGGCACCTCAAGCCTTCCCAGGGGGAGGGCACTCTCACTGCTCCTTTTCCTCCCTCCCTGACATGGCAGGCTGGGTACCTGTGCTGAGCTCTGCCCCGCCCCACACTCCACTCGAACCTCCCTGTCTCTGTCCCTGCATTCAGCCCACTCACAACCTCCTCTCGTTGGGCTGTGCCCCTCCCTGGAAAGCTTCAGGGTCTCTGAACCCTCTTCGGTGAAAACTCAGACTCCCCACTGGAATTCCAGGCTGAACACTCAGCACTGCCCATCCACTGGGCCACTGCACCCCGAGTCCCCATTCCTGTTCATTTCTACCACCACGCCATGGGCCAGGGCTGTTCCACCATTGCCGTGTCATAGAGCAGGGCTGCCTCCCTTGCTTTCCTCCCATTCACACCCTCTTCATCCTCTGGCCCGGGCCTCCCTCACACGACCCTTCTTGACTGTTCCCACACACCCCTCGTTTGCCTTCTCCCCTCGGGAGGTTGCCCCGACTGTCTTTCTGAGAGGACAGAGCACAGGGTGAGACAGCTCAAGACTTCGGTTCTCATGGTAATCCACTGGCCAGGTGGCCCTGACCCTACTGTCCTCACGTATGAAGCAGGTGCCACAATCCGCTCTGCCTGCCCCCCAGGACTGTCCAGAAGAGCACGCTGCATCACAAGAGTAGGTGTGGGTGGAACCATTGTGAGAACTCGCCACTCCATCCATTTTTCAAAATGCTGTTGTTCATCGTTGACTTGCATAAGCCTTGTCTCCCCAACAACACACACCTGAAGTGGGCGGGATTCATTCTCCTCCCCTTGCACCCACAGATCTTGGCCTGGGATGCTCAAACACTGATTTTTTTTTTTAATGGGAGTTGTTTTTTTCAAGAAACGTCCTGGCCCTTCATGTCTTACCTTGAGCGACATCATCATACGTGTTCTGGTTGACCATCCGCTCCACGATCTTAGCAGCTTGGCTCACCTTGGTGATGTCATCACTCTGTGGGGACACAGAGGCCAGAGGTCCTCCCCTGCCAGCCCCGGGAAAGGTCATATGCCCTGACCCAACTGGTTCGGCAGTGTGTTTCAGCTCACCACACCCCCCCCTTCTGAGTCCTTCTCCCCTCCCCTTCACAGGTGGCTGTGTGGGGGTAGGGGTGGGGGTGGGTCTGCACTGCAGTAACTGGCCCTTCAGATTCTCCTGGGCTTCTTTGGGGAGAAGGAGAAAGAAAGATGGGCCATCCAAGAGAGCCCAGGGAGGGGATCTGGAAAGGGAGCCGGCAAGAGCAGGTGAGGACAGAGAGAATTTGCCAGCTCAGGGCAAGGCTTGGGATCCACTGCTGTCAAGTCAATTCTGAGTCAGAGTGGAACCGCCCTTGTGGGTTTCAGAGGCTGAAACTCTGGAAGTAGAAGGCTCCTCTTGTTCCCATGGAGCGGCTGGTGCTTTTGAACTGCTGACTTTGTGTTGGCAGCCAGACCCATCACCACGACACCATCAGGGCTCTTCATAGGGGAAGGCATAGGCTCTCATTAAAGGCATCTGGTGCAACCTTCTGGTCCAACCTCTTTAGTGAGTTGACAGTTGAGGAAGACACAAAGGCTCAGAGAGGGGAGAGAGACAGGCTAGTCCCCAGAGGAACAAGAACTGAAATTCCTAATCCAGTGCCCTGCCCACTGCCCCAGACCCAACAGAGAGCAAGTATTTCCACATCGAGGAAAGAAAATTCATTTTGAATGCCAAACTAAACTCAGCACAGTGAGAACTTTCACAAAGTACAGCAGGCGAGCCCCTTGGAAAGTTAACAGAGGAGCAAAGAGCTCTCAGGGAGGTGAACCAGGCAAGCTAGCAGCCTGCAGACAGGGCGGAGACACCGGGCCTGTGGTCTGGGCAATGGCTAAGAGAAGGGCTGCTGGAGTCTCACAGACATGCATCCCTGTCAGGGCTCGCCCGAGGGAGTGCTGACTTGGGGAGGGGAATGAGGAGGGGGACACTGCCTCCTAGACCAGAGACTGGCCACCAGCACACATTCTCTGTGGCCAAGGACAGTGCCTGCCTCTCCAGGGAGGTAGATGTCAGCGATTGGATGATACTAGACCACAGAAGATGCTGCCTGATGTGGGGGGAGTTGAGCTTGCCGGGGAGTTGCTGAGGGGAGGGGTGGGTCAGAAAGTCAGGGGGGG